GCCGCGGCCGCTGTCGCAAGAGCCTCGAAAATTTCCAATGGCCGCGTAATCGGGGAACCCCCTCGCGTCCCCTTTCTCTCCCGCCTTTTATTTTTTTCACCCGCTTCCCTACGGTAATCATACCCACACGCTTCTCCGTCGTAATAATATCGATGGCCCTCGCACACCTCACCTCTGCAAGAATATCGGGGGTTCCCGGGGTAAAAAGCAAGTATGGAGCCTCGGCTGAGAGTTATAGGTTAGGTTTCGTACGGTGTCGACGAGTTTTTTGATTTTTCGAAAATGTGTGGTTCTCGTTATTTTATTAGGAAATTTTCTTTTCGAATTTTCTTTGATAGAATTATTATGAGTTGGGATACCTGTCCGATTTTATTTTTACATTTTGGATATTTTTGCGGTTAGGGCAAATATTTTATCTTCGGGTCCGATTATCGTTATAAACGCGCTGTGTCTTTCGAGATCGGACGATATTGTAGAGATCGTAGTGAAAAATATGGTATTCAATACACTTATACGTTATACTTGGGTTCTCTGTTGTGATTAAAATAAGTTGTCACTCACGAGGAGAGTGCAAGTCCTTCGGGTCATAAATTTAGTCGAAACTTTGCAGATTTGTAGGTTTAGTCATCCAGTTAAAGAAAATATATCATTATAAGGGTAACTGATTAGAGTTTTATTATTGTCTTAATTACAGATTTATTTCGAATATTTATCAAGTACCATTGTGGCCTAATGGCGATATCCGAAAATTGCCACTAGCGTGGGATGTTGCTATTAGACCACAATGCCACTTGATAACTATCAATAACGATTCGGAAGAAATCTCTAGTTAAGAATAATAATGCTTTAATCATAAATATCTCATAAACTATCGAGTAGTTACCCTTATAATGGTGTACATTCTCTTGAACTGCATGACTAAATCTACAAATCTGCAAAGTTTCAACTAAATCAATGACTCGAAAGACTTGCACTCTCCTTGTCAATCACCGTTTGTTTCAATACCTCGAAGCTTGAGTAACGAATATGGGGCTCTAACTAGATTAGAAGGACCTACACGTGAAATATTTAAACGAAATACACGTGATTTTTCTTCCTCGTTTTAGAATAAATATTGAACAAATCACCGTGCACAGAAAAATATGTGAAAAGCTTCGAATTGTTATATCTCCACAGGGAAAAAAAATCGTCCTTTCCGATGAAATTTTTCACAATCGATCGTGCAGTTATCACACCGTCGCGCGAAAACTCGCTATCAGGGCCGTATTCACCGAAACGAGATCCCGGTGAAAATGTGTGCCGTAGAGATCAAGCGGCGTGCACTAATTCCGCTAAGTAACCCTTCAGTGTGTTCCCTAATGTGCTCCCATTGGAAAATTTACGCCTGTTAACAAAGGCTCACAAATCGAACGGCATTAACAAGCGGATAGGTCGTTAAGTCGTTGGGAATTGACCGCTAAAGCGATAAATCAACAAAAAGGGGAAGGTAATAACGAAAACGCGGCGCACACTTTCGCCGCGGCCTTTTTAAAACACGATCACCAGGTTTCAATTATCGGCCACGGAGTTACGCTTCCAGCAAACAAAACGTTCACGTTTCCTAGGCAGGCGCTTGGATCCTTTTCAATTAGAAACGGAGTGTGAAAATTAATTACCATCGGCCGAAAACCGGTCCGGCCACGAAATGCTCCCACGCGATCTTTACAAGCCGTACGGTTCCGTATAATTAACAATTTATACGAAGCAATTCACCGGTGGCCTTTCGCGTGGTCGGCCACGTAACGAATAGATCCCCGATCCTCGAATCGATCAGTCGCCCACGTGGCTCACGGTGAAATCGGAATCATTTTAAATATCAACAACCACGGTTCTCCCGTTTTCTTAACCGTGTCGTTTCTTCCTTTTTCCGTCGTTTCTTACTTTTTCTTTTCTATTTTTATTCCACGAGGCATGTCCCGTACTCGTTTCATCATTTGGTCCCCGGTATCTCGTTGGTTTAGGAAAGAAGCAAGTAATCTCGAGTAAAATTAAAATTTCCATTTTATAGAGGGAATAATTCAAAGTATCAATTTTATTGATACATTAATTTCCACTGACATATTACTGCTGCACCGCCCAATAACTAAAATGGGGTCGGGGAGACCAATTACCGGTGACACTAGGCGATAGAGAATTTCTTGTACCCATTTCAGGTAGCAATATTTCAATTACCAACGTTTCAAATGCTAATAAATCTCGCGATTTTTATTTTCCTTCGTCTTAATC